GAGTGAAATTCTGATTCATGCTACAACATGGATGAACCTTGGAAACATTATGCTAAGTGAAATAAGCCAGACACCAAGGAAAAATACTGTCTTATTTCATTTATATTAGGTGTCTAGATTAGTCAAATTCAGAGACAAAAAATAGAATGGTGGTTATCAGGGACTGGTAGGGGAGGGTAATGGGTAGTTAATGTTTAATAGGTACAAAACTTCAATTTGGGATGATGAAAAAGTTAGGAAGATAATGGCTCACAACAATGTGAATATACTTAATGTCACTGAACTGTTCATTTAAAAATTGTTAAAATTTTAGGCTGTGGATATTTTACCACAATAATTAAAAAAGGATATGTAGTGTGGCAGAGGCTTTTATGATCTCTGAGTATCAACTCTCTTTTTTTCCTTTTAATAATGGACTCCTCTTCTGCACTCTGAATGATGGGTGGGCCTGGTTGCCCAGCTAAAGATATTTCCTAGCCTCCCCTGCAGCTCAGTATGGCCATGTAAACTAGGTTTTGACTAATAAAATATGAGTGGAAGTGACAGGTGTCATTTCTGCCTCAATGTTCTTAAAAATGAAAATTGCTTACTCTCCACACTCTATGTCCTTACTCTTGGGCTAGAATGGGGACATGGTACTTCTGAGCTACCTCAACCCACATGGAAAAAAAAAGTAGTTGCTTTCACTCAGATAGAGAATCCATATGTAAAGGTTAGTAGAGACACACTGCCAACTGGGTCCCTGTGTGAACTCATGGAGCAGAGTCTGTCTATCTTTGCCAGACTGTTACAAGGGGAAGAAATAACCTTTTATCTTATTAAAAACAATGTATTTTGGAGTCTTTTATTATAGCACCTTAGTGTAAACATTAACTTATACTGCCAGTAGGAAATTTACATTTATGTCAGGCAGTATACTGAGCTTCTTAAATGGGTTACCTGATTTAATCCTCTCAACAGCTCTATGATGTAGATAGTATTGTTCCCATTGTATGAATAAGGAAACTGAGGCACAGTGGGTTTTGCAATTTGACAAAGATCACGCAGCTAATAAATGGTAGAGCTAGGAATTAAACTTAAACTTTGGCAGTTGACTTCAGAAACTGTTTTTTCTCCATTGATTTTATTACAGTCCTTGAGAGAATTTGACATGCTTTAGGGGATGAAAAAACAAGAATCCCTTCCCTACCAATCAATAGTTTTCAATCTATTCAGTTTCATGTCCAATACCTACATGGGAAAAATGAATTCACGTAATTGTTGATTATTTTATTTTATCTTTTACATTATAGAATCTTAATTTAGGAAACTTTTAGACTTTCTAGGCATTGAACTTTTATGTACAGTAAAATTTCCAAAATAATTTGAGACTAACATGGAATTTTTACTATCATTTTTGCCAAGGTGTAAGAACAATTAAAAAAAAAGAGAACTATCATCCATCACCACTATTTACAAAAAGAACTTCTAACATCAAAATAAATTGAAAAAGTCATAAAGATAGAAAAAAATGGAAATTTAATTAAATTGGATAAATTTACCATTATGAAAATTTCACTTACTGCATGTTTCTGATTCTGAATGTACCAGTGACTAGTGGAAGACATAGTGAAGAAACATTCTTAGAAAGAACAAATGACTCTTTGGCCTTAGTCAACTAATTGGTCTGTTTCATCCACACTCAATGCTTGGATTCTGCCACATTCCACCAAGTGGCAGGGAGCTTCTGATGGATGGTTTGCGTGAAAGGGTGTATTTTCTCCAGGTATCCTTTACCAACAGTCATCATCACTGTGCCATTTGAAAGTCTTGTGGAGGCCTACAGATCACACATTTCTTTAGTGACAGGGCAACATTCGTTGTATCAAGAGATGATTTTGCATATCTAACTTGCTATAGTTTATAAACTTCTCTAAATACCTATTTTGAGTATAAAATATGAGGTGATTTTATGGTTTTTAAGTCTCTCCACTCTCGCCATCTTTTGACTCTCACCTAGGTATGCTGCCATTGTGATCTCTAACAGGAAATATAATAGATTTGAAATTAGTGTTTATGTTGCTCTCTGTAGAAGCTCAATCAAAAAATAATTTCTCTTATTCTCCTGTAGAGACAAAAATATTTTTTTTTTTTAAATCTCATAGTAACTGTTGAGATGTATGCTAGTTTGATGAACTTGTGCTGAATATGGAAATGCCATTCCAGCCAAGGAATGATCAGAGAAAAGTATCACTTTGAGGTAATTTTTAAATGGCTGTGTACTTGAATTTCCTCCAGTCTGAAGATCCAAAAGGGGAATAACATTAACAATAATGATTCAAATTCCACTAGTCCCTGCCTCTACTGACTGAGAGAAGAAATCAGTCCCATTTCAAAACTTGACATTTATTTCTGGGGAGCCTCAGAGTGTCGGAAAAGTGCCTCCAATTTCTGGGGAGCTTTCCTGTGGCCCAACCAGCAGGCAGTGCTGCTTCTGCCCAGCCCTAGGCTACTCTTCAGGACCTGCCCCACCTGGGTCAGAGCCCCAGAAGCCAAGGCAAGAGAGGCCTGTGGTGAATTTCCTGCTGACGTATGGCTACATTAGTGTATGGAAAAATAACGTCATTTTTGTGTAGGTACAGCCCCAGGTGTAGAATAACCAAACTATGCTTTTATTTTTTTTTAAGGCTTATTTTTGTTAAAATAAGGAATCTTTGATTAGTAATGACATTACATGTGTGATTATATTTGGAATCACACCCTCTAATTCACTCCTTCATTCAGCATATATTTATTGAGAACTGGTATGTGCCAGGCAGTGTTTCATGTGCTGGGGATAAGTGATAAAACAAATTGCCCTCATGGAGAATAAAAATCAACCAATTAACAATGAATTCATAATACCAACTCCTTTCCGCAAATATAACCTATTGATTTCCCTCAGGCTTTCTGAGATTCTGATCTAAAGAATTGCTACCTTCAATAGCACAAATCATTTGAGGGGAAGAGGGGCCAGTTATGTATTTTTTCATTTATAATTATAGGAGCTGTAAAAAGAGGGAGTTCTGAGGGTAAAGATAGAAGGGGTTGCAGTCTTCTTGCTAGATTTCAGACTGAGTTGCTCAGTTGATGTCATTGATCATGCAACTCCTTTCCTAGACTTTTCCCATACTTGACACTTTAGGATACCAGACTAATTTACTTTCCAGTGCATTTTATGGCATTTGGAAGCCCTCCAGTGGCCAAATACTGTATCGAAAGGGAAAAAATCCTGCTATGCTGGAGTGTTTAGATGTAGAGAGTATATACATGTTTGTGATTTATTTCGAAGTGTATCCAAAAAATAAGATGGATTAATGTGTGAATAGAGGATGCTTAGGTGGCTAGATATGTGAAAAGCAAATATAACAATGTCAATTGTAGAATCCAGGTGACAGTGTATGGTCACTGTATTATTATTTCAATTTGTTTGAACATTAAAATATTGAATAAAAATATCTTTCCTAGATTTTGAAGATTTCTACCTTGTAGTTCACATTGTTGAATTAAAACTTTGTTACAATATTTAAACTACCTTTCAATAAATCCATGTCTTCGTTAATGGACATGGATTAATTTCTCTTAACATAGATTAAATTTTAAATGTTTAAAAAGTACTTCTATGTTTCTCTTTAGAAAGTTTATACAATGGAATGTGAAATAGCTATAGGATTTTTTTGTTTAAAAAATATTTATCTTCCTAGAATATATTTTTCTACATACTTAGCAAACTATTAACAAATTAACTAAATTAACTTTTTTTTTTATATCAGAGAGACAGTGGTTTTACAATTGCTGACAATGCTTAGAGGAGGTGCATTGGCCAGTGTTCAAGGCAGAGAACAAAATCCACCCTTAAGTATAGTTTAGGCCAGAAGGGATTTATTGCATGGTGTACTACAAAGGGTTGGGATGGTTGAGAAACAGTCTGTAAGCTAACTAAGCATGGGGAGTGGCCCACAAACCCATGCTCTAGGACAGGGCCATGAAAGAAATGCTGCTCGTGCCATGATCAGGAAGCCATTTGCCCAAGGCAGAGCCACCTCTATAGCCACCAGCTCCACAGCCATATCACCTTCACTATTAAATAGCCCATCAAGAAAGATTCTTCCACTCCCCCACTCAATTCTGGATTCTTCACTATACACAAGTGCCTCTAGTTTGTGGAATTTAAGTCACATGCATAACCCTGGCTACAAGACACTAAAACCCAGGAAGACATGTTAAGAAGATGACATCAGATGAAAGGCTGTTGGAAACTTTTTAATGAACAAATCAGGCAGCCGTACTTGAACACACTGATCAACATTACCACTGAGTACTAGATATTCTGACCCTTCTGAGGTGTCATTAGAAGTAGCTGGCTAACTCTAAAAATAAAAAAAAAGAAGAAAGAACTGGATGGCAGCATCTAAGAAGCATTCTCATCCAAAACATCAAACCTGTCTGAGAAAGCCTCCATATCCAACTATCAAGTTAACAAAAAATAGAGAAATAGAGGTACATGTTAACACCACCACAAGGAGGCAGTCAAGCAAGATCCAGAGGGTGGGAAATCCTTCTGGACAAATGATAAAGTTTCTTCCCCAAATAAGTGGCAAGTAAGAAAAAGGAAGAGGAATCTAAAATTAAGAGATTTAAGAGACTTACCAAGTAAATGCAGTGTGTGAATCTTGTATGGATCTTGATTCAAACAAACCAACTGTCAACATTTTATGAGGATCTCAGGGAAATGTGAACATGTACTTGGATAATTGATCATATTAATTACTGTTAATTTTTTAGATGCCATAATAGTATTGTGATTATGTCAAAAATCCAATCACTTTCACAGTAAGCTCTTTGCCTTTCCAGACTGTACATTGTTTCTTTCATAATTAACTTATGGCTCTGTGTTTTACACTTGAAAGTTTATTGTGCTAGTCTATTTTACATATGTTAAATAATCCTTGTAACAATCCTGTGATAAATGTAAATTTATTACAGCCTTTCTGGAAGTGGATAAAAACAAATGTCTATTTTAAAGTATGTTTAGTATGTCTAGGAAGTAATAAGGCAGTGTTTAAGGGAAGGAATACCACCAGGCATCTTTGCTAAATAATAGGTAAGGAAAATCACCAGATAATATATAGCCTTTCAGGAAAACAGATTTCAAAGTATTTTCAAAATATTCCTTTGTCCCTGAAACTTTAAGGGACTACTGTCTCATTTTAAAGATGAGGAAAACCCAAGAACACCCCCATCCAGGGGTAAGGTAACTGTGAGAAGAACACTGAATCTTAGCGTTATTAGAAACAGCAAGGGGATGCCACCTGGGCCATCAGTATCCCAAAAACTAACTGGCTACTATTCGAATTTGCAGTTCTCCCTGTTAATGGGCATAAGCCATGCATTCTGAAACTTTGTTCTTGGAGAGGAAAAATATCTTAGACATTACAGTGGTGTGTGCCCCTTCAAAGTTCAATGCTACCCAACAAAATATTATCCCTTTATTTCTCTCACTAAGGAGAATTTAAATTTAATTTAAACTTTCTCTTTGGGGGAAAGGAGGACAATTATGAGGAAAAAAACGTTTTAGAAACCTTGGTTTAGGCAAAAAGATGTTTTCTTTCAGATACAGTGATTTTAAAATCACGTTTTTCACACCCTTGGAAATGAATATCATTACATTTGCTTTTTAAATTAAATTAGTTGAAACAGTTTTTTTTCTTAGGCACACACAGGTATTTTCCCAGATTTCAAATGATTATAAAATCAAAATGCTACCCTGTTTTTCTTAAGATGATCCACCAAATGCCACCTTTTTAAAGAAACATTGTGGCATCTCTGCCTAATAGAAAATGGGTAATGAGTTGATTAAAGGGATGACTGGATAGCTCCCTTGGGGAACTTCGGTCCTGGTTGATTTGAGTTGTCTACTTACAGCGAGCTTATTAAGTGATAATTGCTAGTCTCCACTAAACACTGTGCTTCAGAAACAATCTTAAAAGCTATTCATGGGTAACCACTCAGTTAATGTCCTGTACTTCTATATATCTCTCTATTCTTGCTTATGTGGAATTGCTACTTAATTTTCTAGCTTGAAACAAGATGTGAGATTGCCACTCTTGACCCTGAAACTGACACTGCCCTGAGGCAATACAGAAACGTCACCTCTGCTTGTCTCAAAGTTTATGTAACAGGAATTGAGTCTGGAAAAGGTACCCTCTTCACTCTGACTGAAAGCCACCTCTAACCAGATGACTTCATTACAACTAATGTGCACGAGAGTCCACACTGTAAATTCAAAGTTGGATTAGGCATTAAATAATTGCTTGCAAGCTAAGGTGGCAGATATATTTTATAAACTATTTTAAAATATTTTAAATATCTTAACACAGCTATTTTATAATGTGGAAAATATTACTTAGAATACTACAGCTAAGGAGACTTGATGAAAGGAGCAATTGATTCTGCCAAAAGTCAAGAAAGTGATATATTGAAAAGTAGGAAGGCTTTAGGAGAAAAGCACTACTGGCTTTGAAAGGTTATGTACACTTCTGCATCTGAAGAAGGTGGTGAGGGTGTTCCAGGCAGGGGGTAGCTGTTGGGTGGGGCCGAAGAAGCAAAGCACAGAGATGGAAAATTCCAAGGTATATTTGGGGGCTAAGTTTCTATAACTGAAGGTTAGGGTGGATGGGCCTGTGCTTGCAGACGAAGTTAGAAAGGTTGGAGCCATATCATGGATCTCAGATGACATGTAAAGGCCTTCCTGCCCTCATGGTTACCTCCCTGGGAAGAATTACTGAAATGGAGCTGTCATTTGAATATATAATACCACTTAATTCCATTGTGGGCTCCTCCCCTACCTCCTTCATCCAGCAGAAAGGGATCCAAATTTTCCTATATTGTAAATTTGAACAAGTTCCTTCATCTCTCTGTACCCTGATTTCCTCATCTATAAAATGGAGATTAGCATAGTAGGTACCGTGTGAGTGTTAGAGAAACAAGTTGTAGACCATGGATATAACTCTAGTAGGGCAGGGACGTGGGACAAGCATCATGATTTTACCTGCCTATGAAGAAAAATGCCAGGATATAAATAGTATAGTAAGAATAGGAGGGATTCCATCTTAAGGCTAAGATTCCATTTTAAAAACCAGGGAGTTAGGAAGTAAGATAGTCCTAACATATTTTATGGTAATTGGCCAATAATCAGCCCTATCTTAAGGCAGTGCAAGCAGTCCTAAGTGGTATGTTCCCATTGCTTGAGGGTAACCACTATCTTGGAGAAGAACAGGATCAAGAAATTCCTTGTGTTAGGCTTATTTTATAGAATATCTAGAGGACAGACTGGATGGTGACATAATGTCTCTCACTGGAGATAGACATCCTGAGACCACATGTCAAGCTCACACCTCCACCCCCACCCTTTGCCCCATTCTTGAAAGCCTTAAAAGAGAGAATTCTAAGCATGCCTCCTCTCCAAGGTTGTCTGCACTCCCGTCTGAATATGTACTGTCTTATATTAAATAAACTCTCCTGTTGCATAAGCTGATTGCACTGGTCTCTGAACTCCTTTCCATGATAAAGACAAGAACTTGCCAACCTCCGCGTCTGGTCGTAAATATCTTTGTCATTTTGCTATTTCATTCAACTTTCTAGACTTAAGCACAAGTGTTCACTCTCTCTGTCCTACTTCAGACAAGTAGGGAAGGGCTACTGAGATCTCTGATTTGGACTTGCAAGTTACCATTGCCTCGGTGACCCGGACAGGACTGCAGCTGTATGATCATGCTCTTTAATAGCCTGCCCAGAAATCTCTCCTTTCTTTGCCTTTGGGAAGTTGTCAGAACATAATCCCACTCTATCCGGTGCTCTTCGAGGTGACAGGGACTTAGTTCTCATGCTGTACAGACTCAGGTGGGCACTGGACACCAGGTGACCCTGGCATCATTAGTTGGCAAGGGATCTGCCCTATGCCAAGCAGAAGGTCAATGAGCTTCCCTTTTCTCCCAGTTCTTCCTTGTGCTCTACTGATTGCACAGTTGCTGCCATTTGTTGCTACTTTACTTTAATGAGTTCCTTCCTTACCTATACTCGTCCAACCTGTTCGAGAATTCTTTCTCAATCAGTCAAGAATCCACCCCCATCCAGGCTGAGGCTTCACCTAGTGCACAGGGAGAGACCTCCCTCAGATGCAACTGCCTGGCAACACTACCTATAAAAATTTCCCAAGATTGAACCATTGTGTTGTATACTTGAAACCAATATAATATTGTATATCAACTGTACTTCAGTTAAAAAACATTTTTTTAAAATTCCCAAACAATTGTTCTGAGGCATAGAAAACAAGGGAAGCATTTTAGATTTGTTTAATCTGTGCTAACTCCCTACCAGGAGCTCAAGACTTTTCACATTAAAAAATTATTGTGTGTGCGGGGAGAACAGTGTATCACAGAGAAGGGACACAGGGGATCTCTGGCAACTTGCTGCACTGATGGACAGTGACTGCACTGGGGTATGGGTAGGGACTTGATGGGTAAATGTAGTAAATACATTGTTTTCTTCATGTGAAACCTTTGTTAGAGTGTATATCAATCATACCTTAATAAAAAATTTTTAAAAAAATTACTGTGTGTGTCATTATAGCCTTAAAGAACATTATTGCTAAAAGGACTACTAGTACGCTGTTTTATTTTAGAGTTCAGTTAAATGCTTTTCCAGCCCTAGGAGCTGCTTACAGATTGTTATTAAATAAGTGGTCATTTGTAATTAAAGTTTAAGACTGGAAATTTCTTGGCTTTTAGCTTCGGCCTTTTGACATTTTCACTTTTTATATGTTGTGAAAAGGAAAAGAGAAAGGACAAATAAGGCAGTTTTATGTACCTGTGAACAGTGGAAAAGTGATGGTAGGAAGAGTGGAATTTACATGAAATATTTGCCATTTACATGGCAATTTATGCCATTTTTGGTTCTCCCTCATTGTGATTGTTTCAGCTGTATATTGCTACATGACCAACTACCATAAAACATAAGGACTTCATAACAATGCTGTTATTCTCACAGTTCTGGAGATGAGGAGGGCTCAGCTGGATGCTCCTCTCTGCATGGTGCTGGCTTGCTCTCCACATTGTCTCCCTTCACTCTCATGGGCCTGTGGCTTAGCCTCAGCTGCTTCCCATGACAGTGGGGCCCGAGTCTGAAGTAGCCTGGCCTCTTAAGGCCTAGAAACAGAAAACACATCTGAGCATTTTATTAATTAGTGAAAGCAAGGCACAGGGCCAGCCCAGATACTAGAGGTGGGAAAACAGACTCCACTTCCGTGGGAGGAGCTGCAAAACTCTGTGGCCAGAATTTCCGACCTGCTACAGCAGCTGATCACTTAACTGTAAAGTGAAAGATGGCCAAGTTGGGAAGCTTCCAGCTTCTGACTTCTGCCCCACACGATGTTTACCTAGAAAAATTGCCCTAGAAATCACTCTACTGCAGGATGGGAATAAACAGACATCAAGGCGAAGCACTCAGATGGCTTCATCAGTTTTAAACTCTGTTTTAAAGCCTATGTGCAGCATTTGACTTAAATAACTAGCTCCTTTTTCAGTCAGCTAAGTAACACACACACATATCTTGCCTGTTAAACCGAACACTCCTAGCTTCTCTGAAATCTAGAGGCATATATTAGGGTCAGTACGTAAAAGCAAGGGTTTTGGAATAGCAGCTAGGTTTAAATTCTGGTGGTGTTACTTTGTGTGAGTTTGTTACCTGAAGTCTGTACTCCTCAGGGTCATCTGTTCAACAGGGCTAGCAAGGCTTTTGTGAAGATTAAGTAAGCTAATATGTGGTCAGAGATTAGCAGAGTGCCTGGCACCGGGTAAACATTCAGCAAGGTTAATACTTTATATTAGATAAGCCAGAGGCTGCAGGAGGGTATATTAATGCCTTAAGATTTGTTCATGCCTCTTGCAAAGGGAGGCACTTGTAGTAAGGCCTTCATAAACACTTTAAAACAAGGAAGCCACCCCGAGAAAGCTTTGGGGCTATTAGCTTTCTGAATTTTCTTGAGTGCATTTCTTGCATTTGACCAGTAAGTTTCCTCTTGGTTTGCTTTGCTGCCCTCTTCTGGTAGAATGGGGGAGAGTTTGATGATGTTCCAACCCCTGTGGAAAGAAAGGAAAGCTATCAATATTTGGAATCCTTAGTCAAAGAATCCAGCTTTCAAAAATCTTTGGTCCAAATTCAAGTGAATTCAAATGAAAATAAAGTCTAACTATAAAACCTCTACATATAAATTTGAATTTATTTCTGTTACATGGAAATCAACATTGACAAGATGGTATAACATTAAAATGGACAACTCTGGTTAAAGAGATGCTAAGAACACTTAATTATTATGAAGTGCGCTATAAATTGCATTTCACCCTTCTGAAACAATTCAATGTGTATATATAGAATTTTAACTTAAAAAATATTTTCTGATGTTAATCTCCTCTCTCCATCTCCCAAATCATAGGACCTATCTATGTAGTATCCCTAGATTACTTAAAAACTATTTTGCATAGAAGCTTCATGAAAATGTTATCGTGTACTTCAAGTACAATGAGAAATACTAAGTACTTAGATATATTTAACACAGAAAATTATTTAAATGCTTTTTCACATTTTAGTTTTAGAAGTTATTAGACATATTCTACTAGACTATAAGTAAAGCTAAAATTTAGAAGCATGATACTTTAAAATATCACAGATGTACAGGTAATCTGTACATTTGTGTACTTACTAAACTTAATCCTACTGAAGAATTTTTCAATCAAAAAAACATAATATTGGGCAGTGGACAAAGTGGGTGAAGAGGATCAGAAGTGCAAGCTTCCAGTTATAAAGTCATGGGGACGTAATGTACAGGATAGTGACTATAGTTACTAGCACTACATTGCATCTTTGAAAGTTGCTAGAAAGTGGATCTTGTAAATTCTCATAGCAAAAAAAAATAAAAACCTATGGAAAAAAGTAAAATATTACTGATTAAAAAGATATTTTAAGGAGAAATTTAGAACGGTTTCTGTTTAATGTTTGGCTCTTTAGATATAAATCTGTAGTAGCTAAAGAACATGTTCTTGTTAAAATATGGGCAAGACAGTTCTTGAGTCACAAATGCTTTTACATTTAATGATGGTAACAGTACATATGCGATGTTATCTCTAAAAAATGTAAAATGACTGAAATCTTTGGAATTCCCTTCCCCCACTAATTGAACAAAGCCCAGATTTGTTATAGTTTAGAATATCTCCTTGAGCTACCCAAGCATTGCTGCTTTTCACTGGTTAAACTGCTTAACATCTAAATATTGATCATCTACATATCTTACAAAATGTGTGCCCCTTTAAAGACAAAACAGATTGCAGCAAATCTCTTAATACAGTTTATATTAAAAAGTAGATCTACTTCACACTTTTAGCATATAATATTGCAAGGGCTGCTGACTGAGTGGCTATGTGCTAAAATCTTTGCTAAGGCTTTTGCAATTTTCCATCTGCTAGAATGAAAATATGAGCTTCTGGCCTCTAAGAGCTGAGTAACAAAGATCCACACTTGGAGAACAGAGTATTAAAAAACTGGAATTAATCCACATCTCATTATTTAGAAAGCTATTAATAGAATGAATTTTTGATATCTAAAATAACTTCTCTAAGAATAGGTAATTATAACTGTGTAAAACAAAGGCAGCAAGAACTTTTCCAAAACCAGCATAATGATTTAGTTCAATTTATCCTCTTTGGGATTAAACAAATGATTTCACGGATTGCAATCAAGAGTGCCAAATATGAATTCCAACAAAAATATTACGAGAATACATTTTAAGGCTAAATATAATGAAGATGTCATTTTTCACTTGAATTTCTCTCAAAAGCTTTAGATTGTAAATTACATTTTTTTTATTGTTCACCTAACACAAAATTGTGTCTTTTTAGTTTACTTATGGAAAAGTTCTTTGTGTATATATATATATAATCTTCAGAACAGAGCCACATGTTCAGCTTGGAAACTATGAAAGCATTCCTGGCAGAGCAGTCAGTCAGTGGATGGTTTGACAACTGTGCTCATGACCTGGCTCCAGAAGCAGGGACAAGTATATAAACAACCTATTGTTCAGCTTCACCCCAGGAGAGTATATTTTCGTGGGTGCCTTAATCATACATCAAGAGCTATTAAGTTTGAAAATAGACTTAATAGAAGGGTGGTTGGGAATATAAATCAAAACCAGTTTTGGAGTAGCTTACCCTAACATGCTATGGTCTTGGACTCACCTCATTAATTCAACTGACATTTATTTCATCCTCTATTTCAGGACAACTTTTAAGAAAATACTTACATTCAAAATTATTTCTACTTTGCACATTTAGCTGCCCTTATATATATGCTAACATTTTCACTAAATTTCTTGGTCACTTCTCTCCATGGGCTACTTTGGTAAAGCAGAACGTCTGAGTACATTGATAAATGAATAGGGTACACTGCAGACACAAAGAGTGGATGGCTGACTTGGTGAAAACAGGGTAATATGAGGGGTTTAACAGAAGTAACAGTTTGAACTAAGTCTTGATAGATCAAGGACAAAGAAGGGTGTTCAAGACACAGGGTATAGTATGATTAAGGTGTAAGGGGCTCAGGAACCTATAAGGAGTTCATTATGGCTGGGACACAGATGGGCTATAGAGGTCAGCAGCAGACAGATCTTGGATGGGACAGTTTTGTGATCTGCTAAATTTAGACTTGCTTCTGTGGGCCTGGTTCTCCAATTCCATTATGCACCAGAATTAACTATGGTGCTTATCTAGAACACACATTCCTTAGCTTCATTCTAATTCAGGTCCAGAATAAGACCTGGGAACCCAAATTTGAAGGATGCTCCCTAAATAACTCTAGGGAGAACCTAGGCCACTTGTTAAAGAAATAATACCATAGGCAGTGAAGACCTTTACCGATTTTTCAGGTAAAGGTTAATGGTTAGAAAAAGAGCAGATCAGAACTGGCCTTTTAGGAAGATCAGTCTGGTGGTAGTGAGGAAGAAGAGATCAGAATCTAGAGTGCAGAATGAGTCAGATGGCTGGTGTGGAAAATGCGAGAAAGGTGGTACCACTCACCAAGAAGGGGCAGTGCTCACGTTACACTCAATCATGTTTTAACAAAGAGGAGGGGAAGATTTATCGTATTATTGCAAAAGTTCATTTAAATATCAAAACCTCCCCGGGGTTTTTGTGTACTCATGGTTTTGCTCCTGTTTGTATTCATGCCCTAATATTGATCTCTAGCTTGGACATTTCCTCTGAACTTCATCTGTATTTCCTACCTACGGACCAGGTCACCTCTTGGGTGCTGGGTGTATCAGTTATCTCAAACTCATATTCAAAACTGACATTTTCCTCTTCAAGTCAGAATCCTGGGGACTAAGGGACTCTTGCTTCTCCTCATATACATCTACTTACCTAAATACAAGCAGGAATCTAGCTTCCACCTGTTATAAATTCCATCTCAGAAGGTAAAGACAAACGGATATGCAGTAAACCTTTCACATTCAAGAACTTATTATCCACAGTTCCAGCTATTTTAAGTGACTCCAGGGATTCAGAACCTATGTAATTTCACTCAGGCAAAAATCTTAACCACATGGTCTATAAGGCTGTTTGTTACATGTGAGGAAACCACTTAACTAGTGACTGAGCATAGCACCACTGAAACATAACTGTGGCTTTGTTTCTGTTTATCAATATATGGAGAAATTTTGTGTTAAGTGAAAAGTACAATTTGTGGAACACTGCTTCCAAAAGAAAGTTAGCTGACATTGTTATAATGGAAAAGGAAAGATTTAAAGGTCTTTGTAGCCTCAGCTACAAGGTAGGTTTGGGATGAAGTGAGAGGATGAATTTGGCATTGGCTTATCACAGATACAAACAAGCTTACCATATGCTTTCCATAGAAAAATAAAGATGAATAAATGTTTTATTGAGTGTTCCAAGCGGTATAAAAATTGATCACTGGGAGAAAGCTAATGCTAGAAAAAGGCAGAATTTTAAATACCATCATAAAGATAGGCAATGAAATAGAAAAAAAAATAAAATCTAGAAACTGACTCACACATCAATGGAGACCAGACCTATGACGGGAGGAAAGACGTTAAATGGGGATAGGTCAAAGGAAAAAGATCTGCCTCATGCCCTACAAAAATTAATTCTGTGGGTTTATATAAAAAATAAAGCTTCTACAGAGTTGTAGGAGAGTATCTTCATGATTTTTGGGGTGGACAAAGATTTATGAAAAAGAACACCAAAAAAGCTTTAATTATAAAATAAAGCCTGATAATTTGGACTAAGTTAAATTTAGAGGTATATGCTTTCCAATCCTCCTTCCCTGAACAGAAGTTCTTAAAATTGAAACACAGATACTGTTGACTCTCTTGGGAGTCAGGTTTAGTCTGTGTACGTTCTCCAACACAGGGCCTGTCGGAGCAAGTAAGCTTGAGATTCTTCCTGAAGAAGCAGGGAACATATAGTGCAAGCAAAAAGAAGGGGCAAAATAAGAACTCTTCATAAACTACCTTAGAGCTATAGCGCTAGACTGAGAAAAATCCTCAGAGAACTGACGTACTCTTCTCTACTGACTTCAGTGCTGAGCTGAAGAAGTTTCAGCGCCCTGGCTGTGCAGCTCGTTTCACGGGAGACTAAATTCCAAAATGTGGGAGAAAGCTGGACTCTAGGACCCACACTCAAAAGTGAGTTCTTGGGGCGAGGCGCAGACCTGAAGAGAGAACAGCCACTGTGACGGACGGGCCGACCACAGGACGTAGCCTCAGGCACCTCTGTCTCGAGGGAATGCCCTCCGCGGTTTCGGACTAACGCCGGTTGTCCTGGGGCGGGGTACGGGGTGGGGGGACTTCTGGGTCCACCTGTCTCCAGGATCCTGCACACAATGTCCGGACCCAGAAGCTACTCTGCCCCTCACCCACACCCGGAAATATGCCCAGGCGCACGGACCGTACCGTGCAAACCCAACACATCGGCTGTGGACGCCGGCCTCCTCCCGGAGGCCCCCCGCCCCTTCTCGAGTTCCGTTATTTTCCTCACAGCCTCCACTCACCTAGAGCGCCTGCTCTGCTGGAACAAACCCCGCACTCCCCCCATTTCACACACCCAACGTCACCGACTCTGGCCTTCTTCCCCTGCTGCGAGCATCTACGGACAAACCTGCGCACAAGGCTTTCCGCCCGGGCTCCCTCAGCCCCTCACGGCCTCCCCGCCCGGCCCGCACAGCCTCCCCGCAGGATCTACTCTCTCCCCGCCCGGCCTACGCGGCCTACACGCGCCGCAAAGCCCGCGCCCCTCAGGAATGCGCGGCGGAGCAAACTACTCACCGGCGCGCGGCTGCGGCACGGCCCACGCGCTCAACGGCGGCGCGGCGGACGGAACGGAACGTTGGCGCGGCCCCGGGCGGCCCCTATCGCGGCGGCGGCGCGACAGCCCCAAGGCGGGCGCGTGGCAGGCCGCGGTGACTCCGCCGCCGAGGCCGGGCGCCCGCTCTCACAGGCTCGCTCCGGGAGACGCAGCTCCGGCCCGACTCCGGCCGGTCCTGCGGCGGCAGCGGCGGCGGCGGCGGCGGCGGCGGCGGCCCCAACCGCTTCCCGGGGCCGGGAGCCCGAGGCCACAGCGCCAGAGGCCAGGCCCGAGCGACCCCGCCGGCGCCGCCCGGAAGTGCGGGGGCGGAGCCGACGGCGAGAGGCGGGGCGCGGAGCCAACGACAGGAAGAGGGCACTGGGCGGGGCCGGTCGCCGGAAGGGGGCCGCGGCGTGGGGCGGGGCCGAGAGTCAAGGCAGGACCAGTGTACGGGGCGGTGGGGAGAGGCGGGAAGAGAGCGCGGGGCGGGGCCGGCATTGGGGAGGGACTCGGGGCGTGGGGCGGGACCGGGCCGTGGGCGGGGTGAAGAGCTCTAGACCGAGACCAAGCGCTGGGAAGGGCGGAGAACTCGTGGGGACCTCGAGCGTGAGTGCGAGGCCTAAAGCGCACTAGGCTTCCTTGGCGCTGGGAGCTGGACCGAACGCGTGGGCGGGGGCAGGCATGCCGGCAGGGCGGAGCCTTGGGCGAGGGGTGGTGCAAGGCGCTCCCAGAAACCCCGAGCGGGCGGCGGCGGGCAACTAGCGCAGTTACGTGGGCTAGGGCGTCCGGGAGTGGGGCGTGGGGAGGCGCCCCCGAGAGGGTCCCTGAATGACGGTGGCCACCAGGACGGCCTGGCCGGGTCGCCGAGTCCCTGTCTCCCCCTTCTGTATGCCTGCTGTCCCCCAGCTGGCCGGGACCCTGAGAAGCTAAGCTCCACCCCCCCTGAGTCCCAGGCAGTCCAGATTCAGGATCAGGGCACACAGTAGGCAGTGGGCATCCAATAAATGCTGGCTGTCACTTGGGCGGAAGCCCCAGCTTCCAAAGGGCCCTCGGCCGAGACTGGCTGAGGCCCCACCCTGGCTAGGTCCTACCTAGATTTCTCTTAGACACTATCCAAGGTCTGGATAAGGGCAACCCTTCCTTCCCATCACTGCCCTCGGGTCCCATTGGTCCAGCCCACCCAAAAGCAAGGGCTTCTGCGTGTCCCCATCCTGTACCCACCCCTCCCGCCCCCCCACTGCCACCATGGCACCGCTTGCCTAACCTGCAAGCCAATTCCATATTGCCCACCCACCATGGCCCCTCCCTGAGGGAAGGATGTGGGCACCAGGAATGGATTACTGCGCCTAAGGAATCGCTTCTGCCACCCACCATGACCACACAGGACCCTGTCCACAGAGCTACACCAGGCCTGGCACCTCAAGAAATGTTCCCAGCAGCTCCCAGGGGACAACTATACCCCAGTTCTACAGATAAGGAAGTTGCAGCTCAAGCCACATAGGGTCCTGCTCACCTTCTCCCGCCCTAGGACTCCCAATGCATCCCACTCCATCCCCGGCAACCCTCAGCTGGCCAGCTCTCTGGTACCTTATAGCCCTTCAGCTCCCTTCCCTGGTATCTCCTCCACACCACCCTCCCTGGGCATCTTGTCACTTGCCCACATTCATGCTTCCACTATGCTGCTCTCTCAAATTCCCCAGGCACCTCTAATGCCATGGTACCTTCTGGGTACAGCTCGTCCTCACTGCCCAACCACATCCTACATAGCTCCCCAGCAAGGGCAGAAGTCCCAGCTCGGGGTTCCCTGAGCCACCAGCCAACCTCCCACCCAGCTGCCCACCAGTGGCACCTGGGATGAGCAGGTACAGAGGCATCCCAACCCCCAGCCATTGCCAGCCTGCCTCTCCCAGGACTCAGCATAGCATCTGATGCCTAGGCTGTTGTAGAAAAGTGGAACAGTGAGGGATGAAGGCTACCAGGGAAGCACTCCAGCCAGCCAAGGGCCCAGGCCATCCTCTAAAACCATCACCATGCCTTGGAGCAGGCTGGGCAGGGACTAGGGCCATGTGTATGGACAGCCTATCACAGGAGCTATGCTGCTGAACCAACACGGGCCCCACGAGGATCCTGACAGGTGTCTCTGTCACCTGCATCCAGCTGGGGTTGCTCCAAGCCCCACAGTGCTGAGCAAAGGGGATACTCTTCAAGCCCCTCTCGAGTGGGCTGGACAGACAGCAGGACCCCCAGCACTGCCCCCAGTGCTGCCCCCGACTCCCAGACACAGGCCCCCAGTGCTTGCCTTGGTTCTGAAGCTGCTGCTGAGACCGGACCAGGCTCCTGGGGTGGTGTCCATACCCATCCTTCTCCTGGCCTGCGGCTGCAGGTGTCTCCAGGCCCTGGGAACAGAACAGGGCCCTTGGGCCTCTGGCTCCTTGGGGCACTCACCCTGCAGGGACAGGAAGGTAGTCAGAAAGCCTGGAAGAAATGCAGCAGGCCTGTTACAGTAGGTTATACCTGCAGGCATGGAGGGGAGGTTGTCTTGGGGGGGAGCCCAGGAAGGGGCTCAGAGAAGGCTCTGGAGAGAGGCAGGAAAGGCAGCGCTAGTGCCTGCAGCGGCCCTGGAAGCTCACTCTGAACATGCGGGTTCTGTGAGAGAGCACCCTTTTCATCAGAGACCTTTTAAAACAACCTTTTACCAGGAACAGGAGTTTGCCTCTAGAGGCTTTGATTTGATTAACTGTAGATGACATTTATTTAGGCTTTCCAGGAACTAAATGAAAAACTTAAGAAGAGAAATGTAATTGTTTCCTTAGACATAAAAGGAACCCTCAAAGTGAGCTTTGAAGACTTACACATGTTGGTCCACGTGGCTGAGGAAAAATCCCTATTAAAAGTGATCCGGAGGTATCGTCCAAGGTGCGCTGAGGAGGCATGTTGAGGCACACCCACGTGGCCCAGTGCATGATGGTGGGTCAGCTAGAGATCGGATCTTGTGTCACAGGCCCCCACTGTGTTTCTGGGAGGCGAGGTCAAGGTGGGATGGCCCTGCTCAGGACTTCTGGTGGGAGATACGAGCCTCAGGCTGAGCCGCTTCCAGGCTCTCCATTCCCTGACCCTCCACCTGGTCCACAGGTGTGGAGGTGGGGTGGGTGGGCAGGTGAGGCCCCTGGGAAGGAGGAAGGCCTTGGCTCATCCAGTTGTGGTGCATGAGGAGTGGGCTTCCCTTCAAGGGTGCAGCCCCAGCCACACTGGCCGGCCACCTTCTCACCATCAGCCCAGGCCCCTGGGCTCCATCCCTTGTCCCTGAGTGTCCTTTTTCCGCTGGCTCTAAGTAGAGGCAGATGCTGTTTGTGACCCCATGCCAATCCGAGCAAAGGACTTGGAGACTTAACACCAAGGTCGTGAGATTTAACACTAAGAAGAAAAGCCAGAAAACCACATGTACAGAGTGCCTATTTCTCTGAATATAGAAAATGTGTATAAAGGCAGGAAAGCTGAAAAACCATCCCAGAGCGTCAATACCAGTTATTAACGAGAGCAAAATTAGGGGTGGGTTCCATTCTCTCCTCTGCACAGCCAGTTAGAAGTTCTACAATCCAGTGGAAACCACAAAGCTCCTCCTTTCCATTGAAGGTCAGTATAATTTCACCCATCAGAGCAGGCAGGTGGTGCTGACGAGGGCCCCCAGGGACAGGAGGGAGCTACCTGTCAGGCAGTGGAAGGTGGGGTGTCCGCCCCATCCTGCAACTGCAGCAGTTGCCCCACGATGAGCAAGTGCCTCCTCGAGCTTCCTGGCCACTAGGCTCCCTGTGGGCACCCTGGGCTGGGGCCTCCTGCCTCTGCCATCCTGTGTTTGGCTCCTCTTGCCCTTCGCACCTGTGAGGCAGGTGTGCTGTCCATGCTGGCGTTTTGCATCCCTCTTGCTGTTTGGAATTCTCTTGCCAATCCTTCAGCTGAAGCCACCTTTGGCAGATGAGACCCAGTGCCAGGCTGGGCAGACGGGACACGCGCAGGGCTTTGCCTGATACCTGGCACGACCACCACCTTCTAACCCTGCTGCTCTGTGTCGTCCTGTCCCAATGGTTGCTGCACCCAGGAGCTACCAGCAGCTGCATGCATCATGTCACACATCATTGTGCTCTCCCCTTTCAAGGCAAGGAGGTCCTACCCTCAGAGGGGTGAGGAGTGACACATGCAGCTGCTGCGGGGCATGCGGCAGGGTCTCAGACAGAAGAATGCCATGGTCACTGCTTGTTCAACTTGCTCAGTAGCCCAGCCGGCCGGTGCAGTGCTCGTCCCACATCCCTTGCATGGATGACTCACCCAGCAGACCTGGCCCAGCCCCCCAATCCCTGCTGGCCTGGGCTAAGGGTCAGGCCCCAAGGCCAACAGGAAAGCAGTGGCATGGTGGTAGGTGCGTGGGCCCCAAGGGCAGCACACTCCCTCCCAGGGTGCCTTATGCACACCCCCTACCTCAGGTCTCACCCCCAGTTCCTGCCTCCCTGGAGACTTGAGTGTCTGCCTCCCTGGAGACTTGTGTCTTGGTCCAGCCAGTGACTCTGGGTAAGGCAGGCACCTCTTTAATCCAGAGAATCCTTCTTCGCAAAATGAGGGTCCTGACCCAACCCTGCGGGCCTCAGAGGTCTGTATGTGACCTCTGCAAATGAGCCCAGGCTTCAAGGTGGAGCCCATGCTGGCAAAGGCCCAGGTCAAGTATCTCAGACACATCACAAATAGAGGGCAGGGCTGCTGGGCTCCCCCAACCCCAGCTTGATTTTCCTAGGAACGTGGTATCCAAATACAGGGGCTGGGCACCCGAGGGGGCTCAGATGACTTGTGGGAGAAGCAGGTGAAGTCCTGCCTGCCTGGGCAGCCTAGGCCATTTCCCCTTCTGCTCTTGGGCACATCTGCCCTCCTACCATGCTGACCTTCATGCCTGTGTCCTAGCTGCCCCCTCCCCGGAATACCCTTCCTGTCCTGACACCCATCCCTGAAGGCCCCCAGTGGGGAGGCCACATGCCCCTTTGTTAGTTATAAGTTCTCCCCCACCCCCACCCCATCTGACACCTCATCAAGCCCCACAAACCTGCACAGTCCCTGGACCAGGGGCCACCCATGAGCTCGTAGCTGGGGACCTTGTGTTGGGAGGTGGGGAGATGCCATCCTAGGAGGGCCAACTGCCTTCACCCACAGCCCAAGACCCCAGGTCAGCCTCTGTTGCACCAGTCTCTTTGCCACCTGCCCTCTGCTTTGCTGTCTCTCGCTGTCTCTCTGGGCTGCTGAGGAGCCCTGCAGCCTCCATGGCCAAATTATAAGT